GGAATTGCCCCATCTGTGCTGCTTATAAGGCTCCAGTTTCCCTCTCCTTAAAATATAAGGTTCCAGTTTCCCTCTCCTTAATACCTGGGTTTTAGGGAGAAGTGTGGGTTAGACTTTTCAATTTGGTATCAAAGCTTGATTGGGCCTATGATTGGTGTGCCATTTGTTCGACTAGTGTATGTTGTGGTCTAGGAGGGTGTGTTTGGATGTGTCCCACATCGCCTGGAATTGCCCCATCTGTGCTGCTTATAAGGCTCCAGTTTCCCTCTCCTTAAAATATAAGGTTCCAGTTTCCCTCTCCTTAATACCTGGGTTTTAGGGAGAAGTGTGGGTTAGACTTTTCAATTTGGTATCAAAGCTTGATTGGGCCTATGATTGGTGTGCCATTTGTTCGACTAGTGTATGTTGTGGTCTAGGAGGGTGTGTTTGGATGTGTCCCACATCGCCTGGAATTGCCCCATCTGTGCTGCTTATAAGGCTCCAGTTTCCCTCTCCTTAAAATATAAGGTTCCAGTTTCCCTCTCCTTAATACCTGGGTTTTAGGGAGAAGTGTGGGTTAGACTTTTCAATTTGGTATCAAAGCTTGATTGGGCCTATGATTGGTGTGCCATTTGTTCGACTAGTGTATGTTGTGGTCTAGGAGGGTGTGTTTGGATGTGTCCCACATCGCCTGGAATTGCCCCATCTGTGCTGCTTATAAGGCTCCAGTTTCCCTCTCCTTAAAATATAAGGTTCCAGTTTCCCTCTCCTTAATACCTGGGTTTTAGGGAGAAGTGTGGGTTAGACTTTTCAATTTGGTATCAAAGCTTGATTGGGCCTATGATTGGTGTGCCATTTGTTCGACTAGTGTATGTTGTGGTCTAGGAGGGTGTGTTTGGATGTGTCCCACATCGCCTGGAATTGCCCCATCTGTGCTGCTTATAAGGCTCCAGTTTCCCTCTCCTTAAAATATAAGGTTCCAGTTTCCCTCTCCTTAATACCTGGGTTTTAGGGAGAAGTGTGGGTTAGACTTTTCAATTTGGTATCAAAGCTTGATTGGGCCTATGATTGGTGTGCCATTTGTTCGACTAGTGTATGTTGTGGTCTAGGAGGGTGTGTTTGGATGTGTCCCACATCGCCTGGAATTGCCCCATCTGTGCTGCTTATAAGGCTCCAGTTTCCCTCTCCTTAAAATATAAGGTTCCAGTTTCCCTCTCCTTAATACCTGGGTTTTAGGGAGAAGTGTGGGTTAGACTTTTCAATTTGGTATCAAAGCTTGATTGGGCCTATGATTGGTGTGCCATTTGTTCGACTAGTGTATGTTGTGGTCTAGGAGGGTGTGTTTGGATGTGTCCCACATCGCCTGGAATTGCCCCATCTGTGCTGCTTATAAGGCTCCAGTTTCCCTCTCCTTAAAATATAAGGTTCCAGTTTCCCTCTCCTTAATACCTGGGTTTTAGGGAGAAGTGTGGGTTAGACTTTTCAATTTGGTATCAAAGCTTGATTGGGCCTATGATTGGTGTGCCATTTGTTCGACTAGTGTATGTTGTGGTCTAGGAGGGTGTGTTTGGATGTGTCCCACATCGCCTGGAATTGCCCCATCTGTACTGCTTATAAGGCTTCAGTTTCCCTCTCCTTAAAATATAAGGTTCCAGTTTCCCTCTCCTTAATACCTGGGTTTTAGGGAGAAGTGTGGGTTAGACTTTTCAATTTGGTATCAAAGCTTGATTGGGCCTATGATTGGTGTGCCATTTGTTCGACTAGTGTATGTTGTGGTCTAGGAGGGTGTGTTTGGATGTGTCCCACATCGCCTGGAATTGCTCCATTTGTGCTGCTTATAAGGCTCTAGTTTTCCTCTCCTTAATACCTGGGTTTTAAGGAGAAGTGTAGGCTGGACTTTTCAATTAATTGTACCACTGGGTACAATTTCACTTTCATCGGGATACATATCTCACCTCATCGAATTGAAAAGCCCAGCCTACACTTCTTAAAACACTTTCACCGGGGTACATATCTCACTTCATTGAATTGAAAAGTCCAGCTCCCACTTCTTATAACCTAGGTGTTAAGGAGTGGGAAATTGGAGCCTTATAACCAGCTCAGATAAGGCAATTCTAGGCGATATGGGATACATTCCAACACAGCACAGATGGGGTAACTCCAGGCAATATAGGATACATTCCAACACACCCATCTGGACCACAACATACAATCCACCCTCCTGGACCACAACATACAATAGCCACACAAATGCCACACCAATTACAGGTCCAACCAAACTTTGATACCAAATTGAAAAGCCTAACCCACACTTCTCCTTAAAAGTCAGGTGTTAAGGAGAGGGAAATTGGAGGCCTTATAACCAGTACAGATGGGACAACTCCCAGTGATGTGAGACACATTCCAACACATTGTTGTCTATTTTAAGAATGAACATTGCTGCTAGTCACATCTTCCTGGCCTCATGATTTCGTGATTTCCCATTGGATGCCATAGTGACAGTAGTTGCTGTGGCACGTCCATGGACATGTGGACACGGTGATTTTCAAAAAATACGCCTTGGACATGTTAAAAAAGTGTATGTAGAGGGCACAAGTAGCATTCCGAAAAATGCAAAAAGTGTCTAATATGATGAATTGAAGTTTTTTTTAGTTAAGTCTCGTTGAAGAAATGTCAGACATGTTGCAGAGTTTCAGTGTCGGACGCAACATGCTTCCTCCATAGAGAAGTGTTTGTGCTTCTTAAGTTACAGATTTCCTACCCATGAGATGAACCATGTTTTGACATTTTGCTACCTTCTTTATATCAGGTTGTTGCAGCCAGTTTTCTGCCAAGTGGGTATCAGGAACAGAAGAAGCCAAAGAAACAGAAAACTAACCCTAATCCGACTCCAAATGCTCCAACCTCAGCTGCTGTGTTTCCTCCTAATGTGGACAATGATCGCTACAGTACACCGGAGCAAAATAATTCTGCAGCTCCGAAGCCAAACCTTTCTTCATCTTCCATCCACACAACAAACTGGGCATCCATGGAAGCAACACCGGACTTTAGGAAGTCAGCCACTGACATCAACATATCTTGGCAAGGAGAGTAGGCGACAGCCTCACTGACTTGGGTAATTCGAGGCCTCTGCATCTTTATGTTGTAGCATCGATTAGAACTCATTGATCATCAGCTAGTGTAGGATGAACTATACAACTTTTTATTCACATCTTTTCTTTTTCTTTTTTGTTTTCATTTCATTACTATTTAGGCATGAGATATGAATGGTATGCTTATTATTTAGGACTCTACTGCTGTTGTTAGGTGTAGAACTATGAATGTTCTAAACTTACTTGAAAAATTTCCTGAAATGTTTGAAAGGATTTTTGAGTTTTAAATTTTCTAGCGTGTTTGGTTTTTGATTGTGCATGGTTAGTTTATTTATGAATCATTGAAAAATATTGGAATGTGATGCCCAGATTATTCAAAATTGCTTTGGTTTTGTTCTTTGACATGTAGAATATGACATTGACATTGTTTGATGCAATTTATTTGGACTGTATATAGATTGTTTATATATATATATATGCATAAATTTATGTCAGAGTGTTTGTAGTTTTTGTTTATAGTGTATGAAGCAAAAATTACTTAAAAAGAAAAAAAATTCATTATTAGGACATTGACCTTGACTCCCTTGACTGGAATTATTATTTTTTTATTTTTTTCAATACAATGATCATATCACCTCATCACTGATATGTGATATCATCACTCAATAATAAATTTTTATATAAGCGTGATTAAACCCACTTTGTAGCGGTTATTAAATTATTTTAAACAGTGAGATTTATTAATCTTGTGTAGTTTTATTATTTGGTGATATGTGATATTATCGTTATATTAAATTTTTTATTTATCAAGTATATATATTTTTTCTGGTCTTTACGTCACCATTATACAAAATATATATGTATTAAAAGAATGTGGGTGTGGGTGTGGGTGTGGGTGTGGGTTAATAAATTTAGAAAAATGAGAAGTCATTTTCTAAAATAAATGAATATTTTAGTATTCTTCTTGACACTCCAATCAGCCTTTGTTATATTACAAGTCAGCATTGCCATTGATTGCTTTGATTGTCTAATATTTACTTTTCATTTGATTTTAGACTTGCAATTCTAGATTCTTTTTTAATAGTGTATTCCTTTAAAATAACTACCAAAGAATTGCTGAGAAATTTCCCTATAGCCTGTATCTGGACCTCATCATATTTAATATTCAAATCAGTGCCAACCAAATGACATATACACAACTATATATATATATATATATATATGTATGCTATGCTGGTTGTACATAGTTAAGTAATCCTGCTATAAACTTCTATAGGAAGACTTTCTGTAAGTTTCTCAGGAAAACTCTCACAGTTGTTTAACAGTAGACCTTTTCAACCCAAAGTGGTTATTAAAGTCACTTGTTGTGCTAAGCACCTTATAGGTCATGAGTTGGATTGATGAGTATTTGATGTGTGGAATAGGATTGATCAGGAAAAACATTTGAATAATCTCCTTATTCCTCAAAAAATTAGAGATTGAATTAGTTTTCGATGAATTTCTTTAGTTTTTTTGAAGTTTATATAGATCATTCATTTAAAAAATTAAATTGATTATCAAAATTGGTCACATGATTTTATTATCTACAAGTTATTTTGAGAATTGGCTTTTCTATAACGACTTTTTAACTTTTTGATTATTTTAGTCAATTGCCAAAATAGGCCTCGAGTGTTTATAAAAATGGATTATCTATTCTTGAAGGCATACTTGTCGTCCATTATTTTGAAGACTAAGGTGATGAACTAATATGGTTACAATTATTAAATCAATCTTGATTTTTTCATTTTATTTATGAATGATCTACACATAGTGAATTAAAAATGAATAGAGTAGATCATTGAAATGGGACCCATGACTGGTAAAGCTATGGAACGGATTGGATTGTTACATTAATGTATTTGGTGTAGTTTCTAGCAATTTGAAAGTTGATAGTCAAAAAATAGATATTAAAAACATGTCTATCCTTATTTTTCAATAATTAATTTATTTAAACTATTTATGTTTCATAAGTTGTAAGGAGATTTAAAATAATAACAATAATACCTTTTCAAGTGGCTATATATAATGACCTCCCAAACGATCTTTCTTCACACGAGGAGAGAGAAAGAAGGTATCAAAAACCTTTGAGGTACTGAGGGCATGAAGACAATAAGGGTAATTACTCTTATAACCCTTCTCTTGTTTCCAGCAATCCGTAGAGTCTTCTTGCTATTCTCTTTTGTACTTTCAAGTCTTTCACTCTCTCACCATCACAGCCTCTTTGTCTCCAAGTTTGTCTCAGCTGTGACAAAGTCTGGTAACTTAGTTTTGTTTTTTGTTTTTAGTTTCATCATCATAGCAATCTTCTTGTTGGGGAGTTCAAAAACTTCTAGTGAAGATCATTTTGATTCATTTTCTTATCTTCCGCCTTTAGTTTGTGAGGTAGAATCTCAACCAGACAAAGCAAAGGTTGATGATTACAATGATGACAACGATGAATTTGTTCCTCGTTTAGCATACGTAAAATATAAACAAGGAAAAGAATTTTTACTTGAGTGTTTCGATAATGAAGATGATAGTCATGGTTTTCATGGTTGTGATGGGCATGAAGAAGTTAATGACGATGAAGGTGGTGACGACGACGACGACGATGTGAGTAGTGAAAATGAGGATTTAAAGAGGAAGGTTGAGGAATTCATAGCCAAAAACAACAAGAAATGGAGGGAGGAGTTGGTCAATGACAAGTGTCTTTGGATTGTACCTGCTTAATAGCAATTTATGTTTCCTTGTTGCACCCAGAGAAAAATTATTCAGAAAAGTTATCAGAATTTGAAACTGGTCAACTAGTTTCATTCTGAGTATGACGTACGAGTTTGAATTTGTATTATAGATTTTAAAATTTAGGTAGTTTTCTGAGTATATAGTGTTTCTGATTGTGTTGTAAATTAGTGTGTATTTCAAATTAGTGTTTGAACATGTCCCTTTTTTATGGACAATTGTAAGATTCAAGCTGAGAAGCTTGAGCTAGAAAATGTAATCCTTATATCACTAGATATGTGTAAATTGCAGTAGTTTATCTTTGAGATGCTCTTGTTATGATGGAATGAGATTGTGAGATAACAATTAAAAAATTAAATAAATAAAAAGGTAAAAAAGTGATTTACATGATTTAATTATAAATCTATGTACAAGGACTAAGAAAAGCAAAAGAGTTTTATTATGAATGAAATAACCCATTAAATATAAGAATTTGAATAGCCCTCAAATAATTCTTAAATATAACTAAATCAAATCAAATCATATCAAGTCATGTTATAAATCTCATCGAATGGAATCGGTTATATGAAATTTTTTTTTTTACTTGATTTTATCAAATGCCATTTTGTTAGTCAAATTAAAAAGGTTCTTATGTGACCATAAATTATGATTCTGTTTTTATTTTTAAACAAATAAAATTAATTTCAAAAATTTTCAATTTCTTAAAAATGAAAAAAAGCGATTTTTATTTTCAAACAATTTTTCACAATTTGGTCTCTCCTCCACCACCCACGTCCTTCTACCACCTCTATTCATCCTTGATCATCAATTGTTTGGCCAACTTCTAACGATTTGCAGTGATCTTTTTAGCCAGACTCCTATGGCCCATTTGTTATCTTTTAGAGGTTCTCTAATTATCTTGCGACCTTCGACAACACTTTAGTTATCAATTCTGATAGTTATTTCCACTGTGAACAGCTAAATAAACATGTTTATTTATTTATATTTTTATTTTTAAAATATATATATATATCTTTTGTTTACGTTTTATGTAAATAAAGAACAAGAGCTAACACCATTACCATACTATTCACGTTTTAAGATCAAATTCGAAGAAAATGAGATAGATTCTGATATGACTGTGATAACAATAATCCTCCAATCGTAGAATAAAGCTTAAAATAATTGCTGTGGAAAATTATTTTACTTTGAAGTACACTTGTTTTTTGTTTTTTTTAAAGTGGAGTAAGTATGTAGAGGACCCACAAGAAAACACTGTGCAGCAATTGCTGACTTGAAAGGTTTCCCATTACCCCAAATACACGCATATCCAAAGCTATCCGATGCGGGATTAATCAACATTAAAAAGCATTTAGCTGTGTATATAGTTACAATAATACTATATATAGTAGTTAATGTATTAATTAGGTATCAATTGATAATGTAATATAATTTAAGAGATTTTTAAAATTTATAATGTGATTAATGAGTGAAATTAATAATAATATCATAACTAGTGTTGATATAATAGTTAATATACTAATTAATATATGTAGCATCACCGATTATCATTGGTTAAAATATTCGAAAAACAAGAATGGAAATCTGAACGAAATTCATTTGCCTAAGTCAATGTCAACCAGATTACAATAATGTTGCAAATAATTATTAGTGTATCAATAACTATACGAATAATTATACCGTATTGCAACATATATTAATTGATATATTGACTAGTATATCAATATATATTATAATATTACTATTTTAACACTATAACCCATCTATTATATAAATTTTAAATATTTAAAACTCTAAAATTGTGTTACATCATCCGTTAGTATATCAATTGGTGCTATATAGTATTATTCATAATTATATTTTTAATTTGGATAATTTGGTCCAAGTTTCTCTTTGATATTTTATTAATTTAAATTGATTAATTTTGTCTCTACACTTTAAATCTGATTTAGCTTGATCCTGCGGTTCAAGGTGAAAGTTAGAATTAACGACTTTGAAATAATTGTGAGTCTCCTAAAGTGTTCACATAAGAAAAAATAATGAAAATTTAGACCGAATAACCAAATTAAAACTATAGAGACTAAAGTATTTTTAAGAAAAAATAATGAAAATTTAGACTGAATAACCAAATTAAAACTATAGAGACTAAAATATTTTTGAATCAAACTATGAGGGTGAAGAGTGAAATTAACCCATAAATATGTCAGCTAAACATTATGTTAAGTGGGTCTCACATCAAATAACAGATCTTCCATTCACTGAAATTTCTAATTTCATAATAAATTGCCTATCTTATTAATAAATCATTAAGTCAATTAACAGTTTTAATAATGTTAAAAATATGTTTCAATTAATAATTTAAGTAATTTTATTATTGTATAGGAGAGTAATTATGAATTTTATTTTTTTAATTAATTCTATTAAATAAAAAATTCTAATAAAAGAATATTTATAATTTTTTAGATTATAAAAAAATATTTATATTTTAAACAAATTTCAAGAGTGTACCTTAACATTATTGATAGATATGATTAGGCCTTGAGATATAGATTTGTTGGGACTCGATCCTCTCCTAGCTGGATGGTGGCTTATTGTGGTCTATTTCAACAATTTATATTGTTTATTTGTAAAAAAATTTGAGTGGATTATTCATATAAAAAATTAGATTAATTATACATTGGTAACTATTTAATCCAATCATAAATGAATTTGAAATTAATCTATCTTTTTATTTTTTTTAAACAAATGATATCAAATAAAATGATTATCGATATTCAATCAATTTAATTTTTGATAAAAATAATTTTTTTAACAAATTCTACTAAATGAATAATTCGAATAATTGAAATGAAATCATGATGAGACTCATACAACAAATTAGATCGTCCAACAGCAGACAAGCCTGGCCATATTTGTTAATCATATTTATGGTAAGCATGACATGTAGTTAATTGCGTCATACATGTTGAACAAGTCAATGGTCGGTCTCCAATTTCCAACATATTGCATTGTTAATTGCATAAAACATTATATTATTTTTATAATGACAAAGGTTATTGTCAATTGTTATCCCTAATGGACTTTCAAAGATCAGATCAACTTGTCTTAGTCTTTTTTTGGGGGAGTGGTCCTGTGCCCAAGGCATGGCATAGCATGGAGTGGTATGCTTCGTTGTGTGACTCACGTTCCAACTTAAATGATTCAACTTGTCGGTTATTTAAATTATTAATTAAAAAAATTAAATTAATCAAATATCAATAATTATGTGATTTGATTACATATGTCTTAAAAGAATTTGACAGATTTTTTGGTATTCAAACTCAAAAACAGTTTGTGGGTTTTTTATTTTCATATATATATATATTTTTTATCTTTAATGATTTTGTTTTTCACATTTTAGTCAAATTTTTAGATGATGTAAATTATATTTTTAAAAAAATACGAATTCCTTTTACTAAAGACAAAATAAAAACAAGAAACTGGCATCCCCCCGTCTTTAGTGATTTTTTAAAAATATTTTACCTTTTGAGGACATCTAAAAAATTTACTAAAATATACAAAAAGTTCACTAAAGAAAAACAAAACAAAACTCAAAAACAATTTTAAGAAACTAAACCAAACAAAACAATGAATTTGAGGACAACTACTTATTTTTTAAGAAAAAATATATTCTAATTATGTAACTATTGGTGTAATTTTCACATGTATAATTTTCTCACCAAATCTTATAAAAATAAATTATTTGAATCATTTTAATACTCTAAGTGTGCCTTATAAAAGAAAACAACACACCCTATTGTGCCTAAGATATGTTGTGAGAGGGTAATTTGCGTAGACAAATTAGGCCAAGCTAAGTAGAATCAATTGTAGATGTTGCGTCGCGCAGTGGGCTAAGATAAGAGCTTAGATAGCTCGGTGCTAGGCTGAATGATTGCTAGGTCGGTCAATGGGCTTGGATCCAATTATGTACAATCGGGGAATAGATCGGAGTGGAATCCCGGTTAAATGACAAAGGCCGATCGAAGTGTAGCTCGGCAGAATAGCTTACGACAGATCGAGATTGCGCAGCTTGGTCAGAAGGATAACAGAACCAGGTAACTCGGTTAGGTGTGGCTAGCTGAGTAGGGTGTCTGATCATCTCACTTGGTTTGTAATGAGAATGGTGTTCCAGGGATAAGCACTATCCTTTAGGAATATATTTTCTAGTAGGACTCTGTTGGGAAGAGTTCGAGTCCTATTTGGATTGTGCCATGCGAAATCTATAAAAACTCATAACAAAATCTATTTTCAGGTATTGCAATTCTTACTGTCGAATACACAGAGTTTTTTGTCTATTGTCTATTGTCTATTTATTAACTTAGGCATCAGAGGGATTTTCGGCACACATCTGCCGGCAGGTTCACGTTTGTGTTTTTAGGTGATTGAACGACGACGTTTGGAGGAATGCAAACCTGATCAACAGAATTATACGAGAAGAATTATTTCATGCTTGTACAAGTTGCATGAATGGTTGAAAACAACACACAATTTCTCTCTCTCTCTCTCTCTCTCTCTTTTAGTCGTTGGTGAATTTTTTTTATTAAATATTTTAAATTTTAAGTGCATTTACAAAGTTAAATTTTTTTTGACTAAAATATGATTTTTTTTTTAACTAAAGACAAACAAATAAATAAATAAATAAATAAAATAAAAAACAAAGAAACTCAAAAACAATTTTAAAAAACTAAACCAAACATAGTGATGAATTTGAGGACAAACTATTTATTGTTTTAAGATAAATATAATTTAATTATATATCTACTAATATCAGATCAAATATCATTTTTACATAAATAATTTTCTCCACAAATCTTACAAAAATAAATTATTTTAATAATTTTAATACAGAGTATGCCGCACAAAAGAAAACAACACCAGCTATTGTGCCTAAGATAGGGTGCAGGAATGGTTGATTTAACATGCTCTATTTTTTATTCGAATCTTTAATATAATAACATCTTGTTTTTTGTTGAACATTTTTGTTTTGGCAGCAATCTAAGATAAATATCTTTTGTTTGCAAGACTGCTTCTCTTTAAGGATAATATCTATTAAGACAACAATTAGTTTTTGATTTGATTATTTTGGATCGAATTTATGTTTGGTTTATTTGGGTCACAAATATTTTTTAAGATGATTTATATTTTTTGGTGAAAAAAAAAATCAGTCAAAAATGTTGTAAAACAAGTTTATTTGAATAAAAAATATTTTTATTTTTTAAAAATAAAAAATATTTTTCATACTAATCGCTGCCGTTACCACTATTAA